CAAAAGCCATTTTAAGAATTAGTAAGTTCATAATATATTCATAAAATAGGATGGAAATGCAAACACTAAGCAGATATTATTATATTTAATTATTTTGCAATTAAATTACCTAAAATCCCAAAATTCCTTGTCTTTAGTTGTATATTGTTTATGTTTTCTAGAATATGCATTGCCTCTTGCATTTCCTAACCAAACATCATAATTGTTGTCACATAAAATATATGCTAGAGCTTTCTTTGGACCCAATAATACCCAATCAGCTGAACTTGATAATAATCCATGATGAATGAGAACAGGTATAGGTCCTTTTGTTGAGATTTCACAACTTCCATACTAAATATTAAATTTTTATTATATTTTAATATTGATATAAATTTTATTTTATTACAATATTTAATTTTTTTTTAATTATTTCAACATAAAATATAAGTAAAAATTTAAAAAATATTTATATTAAATTTAAATATGTATTTAAAATTTTTATCATATTATGTAATATATATTATAACTAATAAATAAATAACTAATGAAATGTTATTAATATTTATTAATAAAATAATATAATATTTTTAATATTTTAACTTACTATTAATAAACAAATATGATATTTGAATACTTACTATATTTTGAATTTATTATGTAATAACTTTCAATAAAGAGAAAGTTAAATATTATAACTTATTATAACTTATAGAGATACATTATAAAGTATCTTTTTAAATGCATCAATTTTTTAAAAGAATATATTATAAAGATAAATGCATAATTTATATAACATTCTTTCTAAAAAATATATTTCTCTTAAAAATAAATATTTATCTTTGATTTTATATCATTTATGTATTATTTTTACTTACATTGTAATTAGAATTTTGATATGATTTTGGTAGAACTCGATGTATATCTAAACAATATTCATCTTCTGTCCAAATATGATGTGTTTCTGATTTATAACCATGGACTGTAATTAATTCTGGCTAAAAAAGATTTATTTTTTTGTTACATAAAATTATGTAATATTTTTATTATTTAATTATTTTTTAAAAAAACATTTTAAAATATTTTTAAAATCATTTACATTTATATATTTTAAATGTGCAAAACAATTGTTAACAGATAAATAAATCTCTACAAAATAAAATTATTCAATGAATAATTTACTATAGTTTAAAATATATTACATTATCAATAACTATAAATAAAGTTTAACTAAAAATAAAGTTATATAAAAAAAAAGAACTCACTGTTGTCATATGAATTTCATCCTGATTGGTTGCGTTCATTATATGAATAGCTGATGAAAGATTGAGTTTTCGTGATGGAGAATTTTCAAGAATAATGATTCCTTTTTCTTCTTATTTCTTTTTTATCTATTATTTGATTATTTTTTTGCGAATTAATCTTATAAGAATTAAAATTTTGAATGAAATATTATCCGAATATCGAAATATTGAGAAATATTAAAATAATTTCACGCAATTTAAATTTTCAAGATATAACTTGACAGACTTAAATCTTAATAAGTTTACGATGACATATTGCGTTATTGTCATGAGCACATTGAAGTGTCCGAGATACCGATTTACACGCATGCGTTGTTATTACCTAATATTTTTAGTAATTGTAATGTTTTTATGAAGATAAAAAATATGTCATTGTGAAAAGAAATACTATTTTATATCATTTTTAGAAGTTAATTTTTATATTTTTATCAATTTAAATTAATATATATATATATTAATGAAATAAAATCGAATATTTAACATGTAAATTTTTCCTACAATAAAATCAGTATTATATATAAATTATAATTTTTCAAAAAAAAAACATTTTTATAATTATTTATCATTTATTATATAAAATAAAAATTCTGTTTAAACTTTGTATTAGGACTTTTAAAATTTTTAATTTTTTTTCTGTTAATATATATATTATTTAATAAAATAAAAAATTATTTTTAAATTTAACAGTTCATTAATTTTATACATTTTTTAAAATATAAATATTTAATACATAAATAATTATGTATATTATTTTGATGCTATATTTATAGACCGCTTAATTGATCAAATTAGTGATTATATATAAATACACATGGATAACGATTATTTAAACAAATTAAATTAAATTGTATTATATAAATTAATAAAATAGCACTCATTTATTATTCTTACTATACTTATGTTTTAAATTTGATTGAGATTATAATTAAATTTGAATTAAATTTAGGTTACATTTTAAAGTTACATAATAAAATCTGACAAATTAGATTTAAATTATGGGATTGAAATTAGAAAAATATGCCGCGTAGGAAATATGATAATATAATATATATGAAAGTATATATAAGAGTAATGAAAGAGAAATAAATTGAGAATCTTTGTTTTTACTTAAGGATTTGATATAGATTAATGATATAGTGACTAGCAAATAATGAAATTGAATTCTAAAATGTGATCTATAAATGTCAATATAATTATTTAAAATAAATTATTTAAAATAATTCGTAATTCTTATATAAATACTATTTATATATAATTTTTAAGCCATTGATTTCTCAAAATTTTTAATTATCAAATTATATCAAAAAATATAATATTAATAATATATACTAAAATTAAATTCTTTTATATTCAACAATGAAATTTAATAAATTTAATTTTCAATTAAAATATTTATATTTTTTTATATAAAACTGAATTAAATAATAATCAAGTTTTAATTATTTTATAATTTTTTTATAATATTCAGTATTAAAAACTTTTAAATCAAAATTTTCTATTTAGCTTTTTTATTTAATTATTATAATTTATTGTTCATTAATTTAACATTATTAAAATATTGACCTTTAATACTATGAATTCAATGTTATTGATATTATTGATGTTATTGATATTGATAATAATTCATTTCCTTTTTTTATAAAAAATATTATACTATTGAAAAAATTTTTATTAATTTATTTAATAATATATAATTTATAATTAAAATATGTAAATTATATAACTATATATACATATATATAAATTTTTATAATGAAAAATTGTTTATTTTTATCTATTTATATCTTTTAAATTTAACAACAATGAAATTTTTAATTTATATATAACATAAATCAAAGGAAATGAACATAAAAAAGTACTGTTTTATATCTTTCTCAGATATCAGATTTTATAATTAAATTTTAAATACTAAAAAATTAGTTAATTTTCCTTATGAGATAATAAAGTTACTATCTTTTAATAATATTTTGTTATATAATAGATTTTTATAAATGATTTAATAGATTTTTTAAAAAATTAAATATATTTTTTATAAAAAAAGTCTAATTCTATGATTTATATATTAAAAAATATATAATTTCATTTAAGAAAATAAATAATTGTTAAGATATATATATATATTTTATACTTTTAATATTAAAACATAAGAATCACTTATACCGAAACCACTTACATTAAATTATATTTTCTTTTGAAATAAGTTCTTTTTAAATCTATTTTCTATTTTAATTTTTTGGAACAATACATAATTTGAGATGTAATTATATCCAAAAATTTAAAAAACATTTTTTAATAGAGATTATAAATAAAAATATTTTATAAGAGATTATATAAGACATTTATAAGACATTTTATATGTATTTCAAAATAAATATAGATTCTGAATATTAAAATTATTAAGAATGAATAATTGTGAGAAATATAAAATATATAAAATATATAATGATAAATTTTCAATTCTATCATGAAAAAGTTATTATTCTTTCTCCATTGAACAACATACAAATTCATTATCAATAAAGATATTTGAAAAAAATATTATAATAAAAATTGTACCTTTCAAAATTATTTTATTTATACATTGTGTCTTATAAATTCTATTAATCTAAAATCCTTATTATTTCAAATATTTTATCTATACATTGTTCCATAAGTTCTGTTAACCTGAAATTTTCACTATTTCAATATGTGTGTGTGTGTGTGTGTGTGTGTGAATGGTAATAATTGTTTTCTAAAAAACAAAAAAAAGTAAATAATCAAAAAAAGAATAATGTAATGACAATGATTTTCTTAGATGGATACAAAGAAGATTTAAAAATCAATTTTGTTTTTTTAAATGAAATGTCCAATTTTTTATGTTCAACTTCGATAAAATAATGAATATTGAGTATAATATTGAAATACTTTATTCTAAATCATATTATTTGTGAAATTTGACTTTATTCATGCTATAATTTTCATTAATGTATATGAGAAAGAGCTTAAAGAAATGAAATATTTTCAAATCGATAAATAGAACACGAAAGCATTGTTTGTTTATCAAATTGGTTTTCAAGTTTGATGCATTTAAATTTTTTTTTTTTAAGAAATATTGAAAGATATTATATATCAAGGCATAACAATTTCGCAAGATATGATGTAAGCAGTATACATTGTAATAGACCTAGATATGATAAGACATATAAAAGATAGAATGATTCAAAAATTACAATTTTACATTGTTAATAATAAAATACTGAATTAATATTGAATTAATTTATAAAATATAATTACATATATTTCTTAAAATAAAATAAAATATTTCTAAAAATATATTAATTAGATAAAAATAATATATTTTAATATATATATTGTGTATTAATTATTAATATATATATTGTGAAAGGTACTATAATAGATATATTATTAGAATATTAGAATATATTATTAGATATATTATTAGAATATAAATTATTTAGAAACTTTTATCATTTTTGTAACATTTTCATGATTTTATATTGAGAAAATATGTCTTTTTTACATTTAAAACAAAAATATATAATCAATCTTATATGCGAACGTATTTTCATATGGCATTATTTATTCGATATATAATATATATATTTAATTAAATATTACGTAGATATCTCTCAATAGTAAATACATTCATTTGTTCAATACAGATTTATATCATACAGATTATAATACATATAAGAAATCGACGGATATTACCGATTTGAGAGATCGAAAACTATGAAGTCGAATATCGTAAATTCGATTATTTCGATTAATCGATTATTGAGAAGGAGGTAGTAAAAAAGCAGTGTGCAGTGGTTCGCAAAGGTGTTGTGTGTTTTTGAACAAAGAACAAATTAAAATGAGATTAAATTGGAAATGGTTGGTTATGCATAATTTAAATAAGAAAATTAAATAAAAACTATAGATTTCTTTTTTTTTTCATAGAATGATGTCGACCATACGGTGACAAGACTAGCCAGATCGGCGGAAAACTACGTCACCAGTGACGGATTCCCCCGAAACTGGGACAAAGTGCAGTGTACTCTGGCATTGCGCTTTACCGGAATCTCTCTCACTCCATGTCCTAGTACCCTCCCCCTCTTATCCTCCTTCTCTCTCTTTCTCTTACTCAGGATTGACCAATCGTCTCGTCATCCTCGAACCCTCGATCGAAACTGACAGGTAAACATCGAGATTTTGGAAACTTAGTCAAGTTATTTATATTTATATTTTTTTGTTTCTTATAATTTCATTATTTATTATTGGCATCGTTTTATTAATACAAACTTTTATATTATTGAATTAACTTGTAATGAAATTGAATATTATGTGTGTTTTGTAAATTTTTTAATGTATATTGTTTTAAACTTATTATATATATTATATTGAAAATTTAAGATTTGAAAGTTCATATTATCAAAGTAAAGCTAAATTAAAATATATTTGTTTAATATTGCAGGTAATTAACGACGAATGGTGCAGGTTCAACAACACAGTATTTGGAGGGTTCAATATCATGTCAGATGGGGTTGATGCTGGCGGCGGGGAAAACGAGGTAGATTCTCATTCCTGTTCGCACGCCGATGTTGGAGAATCCTCAAATCCAAGAGATGAAGAGAATTTGGATTTAGATAATGAAGCTGCCTTAAATACTAATTATGATAGTGGTGATGGTGCTGTACCAGCTTTTAGGTCTGTCATCTTCATGTAATTAATTTTTTGTATTTAAAAATTCCAATAAACGTTTAGATAATCAAGGTCTTAAATAGCGTATCAAAGGATCCATAACGTGTGGACAGGTGTGAAAGGTGTGAAAATTATGAGACTATAAATAAGACAGCATTCTGCGCTCATCAAGATCAATGTTTGGCTAATGCTGAGCCAGGGGAAAGCACAGAGAACATAGAAGCTACTGAAAATGATGGAGATGGAGAAGAAACGCATCCTGGAATTCGTTCTCATAGGAAAATGTTTGAATGTGATGTATGTAATATGCAATTTTCTAATGGAGCTAACATGAGACGACATAAGGTATGAAATTTCTTCTAATATTATAAATATTGAAATTTGAAAATTAAATAATTTAAAAATTTAAAATATTAATAAAAATGTAAAAATGAATATTTATAGATGAGACACACTGGTGTGAAACCATATGAGTGTCGTGTATGCCAAAAAAGATTTTTTCGCAAGGATCATTTGGCAGAACATTTTACAACACATTCTAAAACTTTGCCATATCATTGTCCAATTTGCAATCGAGGATTTCAAAGACAAATTGCTATGAGAGCTCATTTTCAAAATGAACATGTTGGTCAACATGATATGGTTAAATCTTGTCCTTTATGCAATTATCGTGCAGCAACTATGAAGTGCCTCAGGTTACATTTTTTTAATAGGTTAGTAATTAATAATCTTATATTTTTATTTTATCAAATAATTATTTATATTGATTATTTTTTTAGACATGGAATAGATTTAGATAACCCAGGACCAAACAGTTCAAGTTCATTGATGAATAGCTGCGCTCCAGGCGAAGCTATGCCTTCAGCTCCTCTTTCAGATAGCGGAGATAGTACTGGAAATCGTTCTGCAGATAATGCGACTCCGCCAATGCACTTCCTAACACCTCATATAGAGATATCAATTCCTTATCCTGAACAAATTGCAAGTCAACGAAATCCAAGTCCTGCTCCTTTAAATGGAGATAGCCCAAACAGTCCACAAAGTGCAGACAGTAACAGTAATGCTCCAAGTAGTAGTCATCATCAGTTACCAATTAACAGTAGTGGCATTCACAGGTATAGAAAAGATTTAAATATATAATTTATATATTATGAATATAAAATGTTAAATAATTAATTTTCAGTATTTTTCTCATAAATGGTAAATTTGTAAAAAAAATATATAAAAAGAGCATAAAATTTTAATATTATGAAATTTTATTAGATTTTCAATTATATATATATATATATATATAATAAATATATTATTATATAATATATAATAATATATCATAT